TTCCACTTCCTAAAGACAAGACTCCACTAGGTTGCAGGTGGATTTTCAACATTAAACGTGACAAATTTGGAAACATTGTTCGTTTTAAAGCTCGTTTAGTGGCTCAGGGTTATCGGAAAATTAAATACGATACCTATGATGAAACCTACTCACCTGTAGTCAACTTTTCAGTAATAAGGCTCTTTTTCTCTCTCTTAGTTGCACACCTTGGATGGGCAAATATACAATGCGACGTAAAAAGTGCCTACCTCTACGCTCCTTTATCTGAGGAAATTTACATGTCCCAACCTCAGGGTTTTGTACAGCGAGATAAAGAAACTTTTGTGTGTCGTTTAGATAGAGCCTTGTATGGTCTGCATCAGAGTGGGCGATTATGGTACTACGAGTTGGATAGAACACTATGTAACCTAGGGTTTACCAAGTTTGAGTGGTGTAATTGTGTCTATCGATTCAAAAATTTCGGCATTCTGTTGGTTTATGTTGATGATATTGTTGTGTTTGGAAAAAGTTCAGGCTAAAAGGATATTAAAAGTCCTGAATTCACATTTTGATTTGAAAATTTTGGGTAAAACAAAAAAGCTTTTGGGTGTGGAATTTGAATATGAGAACAATAGTGTTCTGATTCATCAGCAATTATATATAGAAGACATAGTTGATCGATTCAAGTCTTTTAAAATACAAATTACTTCCCTTCCAATAGTTAAAGGTGTGAAATACTCAAAGTCTCAAAGTCCCAGTACACAAGAAGAAACGACTGAGATGATGAATTATCCTTATAGAAATGTTTTAGGATGCCTCTCGTTTCTTTGCAATCGTACTCGTCCGGATATAGCCTATGCTGTTAATATATTTTCTCAGTTTCAAAGCAATCCTGGTAAGTTTCACTGGGAAGGATTACTTAAACTTTTAGGATATGTTTCAATACCAGACATCACAAACTTAAACTGGTATGCAAGGAACTGAAGCTCAATATATATTCAGATTCGGATTTTGCTTCAAGCAGGGATGATATGGTGTCTATTGGTGGACAAATAGCTTTGTTGGGAGAATCACCTGTATCTTGGCGTACATTTAAAGAAAGGGGAGTGAGTTTGTCTACTATGGAGGCTGAATTTATCTCCATGACTGAATTAGTAAAAGAATTAGTTTAGTTTAAAAACATTTTGGATGAATGCATTCAGTTTAAGATTGCAAATAACTATGTTTCAAAACCTATATTGTTTGCGGATAACATGGCTGCTACATGTTTTACAAAATCACCCATTGAAAACTCAAGGACAAAACATATAGATGTAAAACTATTCTTCATTTGTCATTTATTGAACAGGGAAATTTTTTATCTAAAATATGTTCCAAGTAAAGATAATCTGGCTGATCCCATGACAAAACCACTGACTAAACATAACTTGATAAGATTTTGTGGAGCAATTTTCTTGTGAAACTTGTTTTTGTGTGTATTTAACTTTAAATTAAGTGTTTTGTTTAGTTGAAAATAATATGTTGTAAGTCATATTATGATGAGTATTAGATAATGTAAAATTGTATAGTGTAGAATGTTGTGTGAATGACCAGGGCCCTGGGTAAATGTATTGAATGTATGATCATACATATGTCTTTGTATTGTTTTGTAACATGTTGGACTTTCTTGTTATGGTAAAATTTTGAAAAATGGGATAAGATGTCCCCAAAGGAAAATTTTCTTAAAACTTTCTGAATTGAATGGAGTTGTGTATTGTTATATTTATTTATTTTTGTTTTGAATTTTATATAAAAAAAAAAAAAATACTGGCGTTCAGTTTTTATTTCAGGTTGGAGATGATGATGTGGGGGGCATTTGTTGGAAAATATGACCTATTGTAACCCTTTTTCTGCATCATCTCTCCTCCTTGAAATATTTCTAACTTTTACATAAGGTTTAGTTCTTATTTTAAAGGAATATAGTAGTTATTTCTAATTTGTTTTTCACTGCCACTGTTTGTATTAAGAACGGACTGTTCCAGCCTAATTGAGATGCAAAAACGAAGCTTGATGTTACGTCATCTAGAAAGCTGAGGCGTGCCGATAGCTGATTGATTGCAGTGAGATGACGTCATGTCTACTTCAGGTATAAGTATCTCGCGTCGCTCTGGCTTATTCCTTCTGGTTCCTGTTTTATTGCTCTGTGGTGTGTCGTTTCCAGCCCCCATTGGAAGACAATATTGCGATGTGTGCAGTCCAGTGATAAGTGCCGTGGTTCCAGTCCGAAAGATGACTTTTTCTGGAGCTTGAAAAGCGGCAACAATGTGAGCAACTGCCGTGGGTGGCATAGGCAGCATCTTCAATACAAGTGTTTTTCAAGAATTAGCGCAAAGTTTTTCCAAGCTGTGTTTTCTTGTGTGTAATTACAGTGAGCGGCTTTTTGCCGGTTTAAGTTCTCTCAAGGATTTAGTTTAATTTTTCAGGTGCCTTCTTGACCACAAAGCATGCATTTATTGATAGTGAAGCGAATTTCATTATAACCGCGTAGTTTCTGTTTAGTGATATTTTTTTCGCATATTGAATGGCAGTATTTAGAGATCAGGTAAAATATTTACTGTGTCTTTAATAGTGTAACATTCTTTAAAGGAAAAACCAGTGGGGTTAATGGTAATCAATTAAGTCTAATTTTTTTATAGTGATTATGTTATACTCTTTAAGTTTATGATATTGATTAAATTTATTCATTGTGTTTTTATTTTTATATATTGTTAATAAATTGGTTAAGTTTAAAACTTTTGTCTTCGATGTCTGCACAGTATATAACCTTATGGAGCTTCTATTGCTACTTCTGCTAAATAATTTTTTTTTACAACTTTAAACTTTACTTTTGCATCAGTAATATATGCTTTACGCATGCGCGCATTGAAAGAAATGTTTAATAAAGTAAACAGATAAACATTAAGGGTTTTTTTTGTAAATTTTGATACCCTTTAGATCATAATTGCTTTTTATTTCATAAATTATGGTTTCATATTTTTAATTTTATAATTTCTGCATGCTATCTTACCAGATTTAAACTGATGATCTATAATCTGGAAAAACCGATAATCTGGAATCGCCGAAGTCCCGACAAGTCTGGATTAAAGACTTTTGACTGTATATAATAATTATTAATTATAGTACTATTATAATAATTATTATTGTGAAATACTATAATAAATTATAATAGTTATTACACACTGGTTTTCAAAAATTAAGGAAAAATAACAAAAGCAGAAATAACTCATTCAAAAATAAGCCAATCCATATAAAATTCGAGTATGTTGTCAGATATAAGTTTCAGAGTAAAACTGCAGTATGCAAACAGAATACATCACCTGCAAGGAATATAAAATTGCATCTCTGAGAGCAAGCCTACAAATTTTGCTGTAATAGTGAGATAAGAAATTTGGGATAACCAATTTGTAATAATGACCTCCAGGCATGATTTGGCCGAAGAACTGCAACGGAGAGCTATTGGGAGACTAGAGGCAAGGCAGAAGTATTGACAGAAGTGGCCAGGTGACTAAATATGAGGCAAAGTCAACCGTGCATACAAAGCTTTACAAAGCTAACCTGCAAGTGAGGTGACCAGCCATTTGCATGCTGCTTACATCACATCATAGAAGGGAACATTTGATATGGGCAAGTCAATGTGACCACTAGACGGCTGATCAATGGAGGGCTTTACGGATGAGTTTAGGTTCAGCCCCCAAAGATATAGTAGGTGTTATTTGATTTGGATAGAACATGGAATCCATTATCATCCATCAAACATCCGTAAAAGAGGTGTAGACGGAGGATCTGTATTTGGGGCGGTATCTCTTTGGGTGGACACACAGACTTCCATGTCTTTCCACGTGGAACCAAGTTTGCTCATACCTATAAGGATGACATCTTTGATGCTTATATGCACCCTTAACTTGGGCAAAGGGTGATGATTTCCTGCTACAGGACAACAATGCTAGACCACACAAGGCCTACATCATGGATTATTATCTTCAGCAGCAAAAAATGCAGCACAGAGTGGCCAGCTTGATCACCAGCATGAATCCTATCTAGCATGTTTGAGATGCTCTAGGAAAACATATAGCTGGTCTCAATCCTGCTCTTCAGACCCTTGCCACTTCTGCTTGCAAATGCTTTGCAAGAGCAATGGCTCTCACTTCATGCAGAACTGATAGACAGCATCGCACATTGCTATATATCCTGTATTGCTTCTAGGGAAGATCATACTCCATATTGAAGGTAATTTTCCTATACAAAACTGGCACATCCGATTTTTTCATTTTATACTTATGCTAATTTCTACAGCACAATTATCACCTGATAATTTCTTTTCAAGTTATTTTATGCCCTACTCTGTGTTGTATACCATAGGTCAGCTTCATTAAATTCTATAAGTAACTTTTTGAATAATTGCCATTTTTGTGATTTTCCTTAATTAATGATAACAAGTGTATTAGAATTCATAGTAATGAAAATTATACAATAAAATATAATTAAATAGTTATAAAAAATTATTATACAACATCATTTATTACACTGTAAAATTATACAATAAAATATAATTAAATAATTATAAAAAATTATTATATGTCATTTATTACACTGTCATAAAATTATGTATATTCAGCAAAATTAAGCTTTGAAAACACTCATACTGATACTAAAATAAATAAATGCACAAAACTAAATGGAATCAAATTGTTAATTACAAATGATAATTAATATATTATTTTAGAACACTTAAAAGTAATTTTCTGCCTTCTCATATCAATGCTCTTGGATATGCAATGAAAATGAACAGTGAAAAAAAATCTCTACTACATAATTTATGTCACATCCACCCTATTTTGTCAATAAATTGGTCTAAATGACGCATGTGTATTTGTGCTCATGGTCAGGTTGGTGCATGTCAAAAAAATTCCAAAATAAAAGGTTCTAAAGATGGGAAGAAAATATATATTAACTGTATTTACAAAATAGCTGAAAAAAATTACCAGTTATAACTTCCACTACATTGGGAAGATCATTATCCATCTTCATTTTATCTTTTCTAACTGGATAAGGATAAAACTGATGCCAACTATTAAGAAGATTCGTCATGTTTGTATCACTGTACTTGTAACCAACACCAGTCAGTTTACCTTCCATACCATACGGACTTAAAATTACTGAAAAGACAAATTTATTGAATAAATATTAATATAAAATGGAGAAAATATTTTTACTATGTTAAGCATGTACTAAGACAATTTTTAGGAAAATACTTTATTCAAAAAATGAACAGCAAAGGAATATCTACGAAAAATAACAAAAGTGATAGAAATGAGCTGAAACAATAATACTTAAAGCAAAATATACATGCACACTAACATCACAACAAATAACAATAAAACATTAATAAAAGAAAATAATTTTCAGCTTAAAAATAGGTTTAGAAAGGCTTTATTTAAAAACAGCTAACAAAATTTTGATACTTTTGATGAAAAAAAGGTAAGCTAAAATTTATTTCATAGTAGTATGATTATGATGCTTAGCAATAAACATGCGTTTCCAGTAATTTATAATAATAGAAATAATCTTAGCTGCTTAACAATGAACAAAGTAATACAATATTGTATCCATGTACAGAGTCCCAGATCTGGAACACAGCCTGGACTTCGGCAATTCTGGATTTATATATCAGTTTAAATCTAGTAAAATAACATGTAGACATGGCAACACTGAGCTTCACTGACTGTTTAGGTCAGATAGCCCACCACAACAACTCAAGGGTCAAAAGTATGATTGCAGTCATGGTAGATAATCATCATCAATACAACATCAATAACCATACTTTCACCAGCCATGGTGTGATCACCTAACCAACATGTGTTTGAAAGGACATGTAGGATTCTCACTTAGTCCAAAGTCACATTTATGGCATGCCAGTTTAATTTGAGTATTATAGTCTCCACTCCTTGATTTTGTAATGGGGGAAGGGGAATTTGTGTGCGGAGGGGTGAGTTAGGATAGGAGAATTTCCAAATTTCAAACTTTGTAGCGTATCAATCTGAGGCTCCCCCCCCCCCGAAAAAAAAAAGCTACAATCACAATTCTACAGCAAACATGGTTTACAATCAAACCTCTCTGAATACAGTAAAATGTCTGATTAATTTTCTTCCAAATATTATATTAGTTTATGCTTTTATAGTAAGCCTTCAAACATATGAAGAATATATTTGATGATGAATTGTATCCATGTAATGATATAATATATAAAATTTAAAATAAAGTAATTAAAAGTAAGCCTAAAAATTTTTTCATTCACTGTTTTTAAATTGAATTTGTGTTCCTTGGAGATGGTATATGGAAAGTTTTCTTATTATAAATTATTATGAATTTATATACATACCTGCCAACCTCTAAAGATAAAAATTCAGAAGATTTCTCCAAAATAAGAACACGACGAATTAATATCCTGCTTTGATATTAAAAAAATAACAATTTATACAAATAGAAAAAAGAAAATTGTACTTACATTAGTAAATCTCAATTAAGTAGTAACTAAAAAATTTATTAGGAAACAAAAAACAAGAACTTAATGTTACACAAAAAAATTATTGCAATGAATTTAGAGTGCATTTTTTGGCTTTAGCCAAAAATTCTTTGGAAAATTTCCTGTCATAACAATTAGTTTCCTCATAACATTTAACAAAGTTGGTTTTCGGAATCTTATATGCCGACAAATTTGATGGGATCTGTGGTTTTGTTTTGGTCTCTTCGTGGAAATATTTTAGCAATGCATCCCACTGCTCAATAAACCTTCCTAGTGCTCTGCCTAAGGATAACCATCTCGTGCATACATGTTTCAGAATTTTTCTTGTTTCACTAGAGCACAGTTCTTGGAAATTCTTTAGGTTTTCTTTCCTTTTTACACTTTTTTCCAGATAGAAAAACACATCAATCAGAAGCTGGTCAATATTTAATGGTAAAGCAGCTGCAGCTTTTTCTGCTGCCAAATTAATTAAGTGGCATGGGCATCCAATAAAAATTAATTCATTTTGTTATTTTTTGAGGAAAGAGGTTACACCCTTTTTGTCACCCACCATGACATGAGCATTATCTGCACCAAATGAAATGCAGTTTGATATTGGGATGTTAAGTTGTTTTAACTCATTAATTACCAAGGAGGCAATATTTTTCCCCGTAGCAAATATGTGACAACGATGGGGTAAAGCTTCTAATCGCTGTCGTTGCTGATTGACACCGAAAATGCTGAATTCTGGAGTGCAGCTATCGTTTTAATTTGTGCATCGCAAGCAATTTCGTTCATAATAGAAGATGTTTTCGTGCAAGCACAAGCATATTTCTGAGCAACCTTGGAGTCGGGAAACATCCATCTGAAAAGTTGACAGGCGTGATCGGCAGCGCTTAACGGCACGTTGTGTTCGATGAGGAATGCAGTAAACAAACACTCTGCCAAAATGACATTGGCATCCGAATTCATAGCTGAATTTGAAAAAAAAATCATCCACTTTCTTAGACGTTGTCGAAGCCAAAGCATTGACTTCATGCTTTTTAGACTTAACATGCTTCACAATGTCGCTTCTTCCATCGTGTCTTATTATGAAGTGACACACGCACACGTTGCAAAATGCATAGTTATTTCCTTTGAAGGATTCTTTAATTGTTGGAAATTCGGCTTTGTAGGCAGACCGAAACATACTTTTGTTTTTCTTCAGAATACGGTTTTTTTTTAACTCATTTCATAACAACGACGTATTAAAGAAAATTCGTAGCACGTGCAAACAAACAAACAAACAACAACAACAACAAAGCAAATGCGAAATAAATAAATAAAACAGAATGCGGCAATGCATGCTTGCTGAGTAATTTCCCTTGCTGCTGAAACGAACTCGAAAAAAATAATCTGGCGCCCACAAAAAAAAAAGAGTGGGAGAAACAAGTTCAGCGCATTGGATTGGCTGGTTAAGCGGCGAGTTGGGAGAAACCGCAGGTTACTGGATTCGAAGTAGTCGGTAGTTGGCAGTAAAAAACGATGCAATTGGCAAAAATCGCTGAATTGGCTAAAATTTCGACAAAAATCACTAAAAACACTTGAAAAAGGAAAAAAATCATAAAAAATGGATTACGATCGTAAAATCGTAAAGACAAATGCATTTTCGTAAAAATTACGAAAATTCGGAAAAGTTGGCAGGTATGTATATATATATTTCATAATTACAAAATAATTTTTTCAAAAACAAAATATAATCATGCCTAATATTTTTGTGCATTAAGCTGCTGAAAAATTATCAGTAAAGACAAAGTAAGAAATTTAGATAAATGCACAAAACTAAATGGAATCAAATAGTTAATTGTTTATAACTAATTAATTTAATTTTTCACAAAGACCAAAAATTGAATTCATAAGTAATAAATTTCAAATAATCCTATAAATGCAAAAAAGAATTTAAAAAATGTTAAAATGAAAACTCTTTAAACAAGCAATACCCCAATTCAAAAAATCAGTGAAATTTAAAGAAAAACGAACATAATAGAAGAGGAATTCAAACAACTTTAATGCCACTTCATCAGGAGGAGGAACAATGAAATCAATTGAAATCTCTATTCCAGAAAAATCCTTGCTTTTCTGTATCCAGAATTAGTATATAAACCATTTCAATGCATTTTAATCATAATAGTTCATCCGAACATTCTGGCCCCTCCCCAAAGAAAGGAAAAAACTAATTAAATCTTGTATCTTAAATAAAGAGAATTCTATTTAAAGAATTGAAAATGTAAGTGAAATAATAAAATACTAAAATATTTCAGTGATAAGGTCAAATCAAAATTTTACCTTTAAACAAATAGCACATAATCCAAAGAATTTTAAAAATGAAATTATACAATTTTAGTGAAAAGACATAATTAAAACTCACAAGAAGTAATTAACAACTTAAGCACTTTCTTTAGAACACAATCGAAACTATGAATGAGATCGTTACAGTAGTGACGTATAGGTTTGCCATTTTTGACTTCAGTGGCGAAACTAAAATACCTTAGAAAGTATTCACTCAAAAGGCTAAAAATTGGAACAAAAGATGGAGTTTTGAAACCAAAATAAAAACTTTTTGATACTTCTATGAAAATTTTTATTAATTTTAACAAACAAAAAGATTACTTTACTAGTTAAATGAAATTTAAGTAAATTCTGACTCTTTTAAAACAAAAACGGCAATAATGAAGATCATTCACTGTAAAACTTTAAATCAGTTTTAAAATCAATTATTCTTTAAAAATAGTCGACTCCAAAAGGTGCCCACAGAGTTTTTAATGATTATTTTGCAGATATCAGTAGAAGAATCCATAAAGTTAAATTTTAGATTTTTAAATTTGTTTATTTAAAATTACAGAAAAAGGTAAAAGAAAGCTTGAAAAAGGAAGTAAAGGAACATTGTTAAAAAAGCAAAAAGTCTTCACGTCATGGGCTTATCATGACGACCTTGAATATAGAAGGCCCTTATTTAATAACAGAATAGTAATTAAGAGAAAAAAATAAAATCATATAAACCCTTTAAAACATCCTTCTTTATCCTTCTCTTTTGGAGCTTTCAGATAAAAAAATTCATACTTTTAAAAAGCATTATAGGGTGTAGACTACTCCAGATTTCTTTAAAGGACTATTAATGAATTTTAAAGGAATTTCATTTTCTTTTGAAATTTTGGTGAGAATTAGAATTTTTTTATTTGTGTTTCAATTTCAGGGCAAACTTTTTTAATTCTGCTAATTTGGTTATTAATAGTATTTGCAATAACTTTTTTAGATATGTTGGAGTTCCAATTTATAAGTTTTATTAGTAGAAAAATTAAATCTTTTCTTTTATCAAAAAGTTTAATTTCTGTTAGATTATGAATACTTAGATCAACATTAACTATTTTTGTTTGGTTTTTATTTGGTAGTTTAAAGTCAAAACAGCAATGCTAAAGTAAATAGATTTGCTTCAAAAATTTTAATTCTACTGTTAATTAGTTAATAGCAGATGTTAAACTCTCAAATAAATTACAATGTTTATTAAAACTTCTTATTTAGATAAAAGTTTCAGATAAATATTTTACCTTTAACACCTTTATGCTGTGTCTGTGCTGCAGTTATATGGCACTTACTCAAGGAATAAATGGATGATGTCAATCTTGCATCAATACTAGCACAAACAGTACTTTCCCCATGCAAGAAGAAATGAAAACCAAAAGCTATTTGATTTCTATAAAAAATTAGTCAAAGATTATATTAAATAACAAGGCTTTTAAATACTGATTTTTACAAAGATTAGTTTTTTTAAAAAAAATCCTTACTTTTTTTTGCTGCAAATAAGATTTTGAGGTTCAATGAAAAATTTTCCTAATCGTGTATATCCCTGGGAAAGTAAACACCTAAAATGAAAAGAGAGAGAAAATTTAAATACAGTTACAAAGAATAATAATATATATTTACAAATTAAAATACCATAAGTGAAATGCTTGCACTCGGATGAAACAGAAAATATAAAATTAATAGCTCAGATAGAGAATTTAATTTCCTAATTACACAAAAAAGCATAAAAAATATTATATCAATTAAAATCCATCACAACAAATAATTAGATATTTTTCATAAAATTTAATACATAAAAAATAACGTGATGATCTTACTTCTCTCATAAAGAAACAAATTATTAATTACTTACACTCAAGCCTGAAATTAAGAAATATATACAGTCAAAAGTCGTTAATTCGGACACCCATAATTCGGACCTCAAAGCTACAAACTTTCTGCGCATGCGTAATACCTTTATGCAAGCGTTTATGCACGCGAGTTTAATGTATAATGGAAAGTATAAGCTAAGCTAAAATTCTAATTATATATTTCAGTTATTGTTGCAGACTGCATTGTTCCTTAGTCTTCGAATTGAAACCGGCTTATTATTTTTTGCAGACTGTTACAGCAATTTTATAAAAGTAAGTTGAACTTTCGATTATATCAAAAAGAACTTCCGATTTCTGGAGCTGCCAAAGGATCTACAAAGCGAAAGCATGTTTCGATGACCATCAAACAAAAAGTGGAATTGCTGCAAAAAATGGAGGCATATCCTTTGATTCTCTAATCATTCCGAAATATGTTTATCAATTTCACGCTGCTCTGCGGGGGGGAGGATGACGCAGCACGCAATGAACAGGAAGTTGATCTGTCAGCACTATCCTTATCTTCAGGGCAGATGTTTTTATTTTATCCCACTGATAATTCCTTACTAAGTGTAGTATTTCATATCGATGTACTCTGTTTTTGATATGATTTAAATCGAATTCCTCCTCATTATAAATATCATGAATACACAAATAGTTTTCTGGTTGCAATTTTCTAATTTCGACTGCTTTATGCATGCGCGCATTGAAAGAAAGCAGTTTGCTTTTCTGCTAATGTAGAAGGTTTTTCAGAGACTTTTATAGGTGTCTCATCTGAAATACATGTTTTTAAGTCCTCTTGATATGTTTTCCAACTTCTGTTCATATTCAGTAAGAGATCTTTGTGAATTGGATCAGTCATTGGATTTTTTTAGCCATATTTTTCACATGAGGTTTCTTTAGAAGCCATTAAATCATATTTAATAGTCTGCACTGCATCTAGGGAATCAATCTTAAGAGAGGTTCTATAGTCAGTGACAAGTGTATCCATTAAGTTGAATGCACTTTCCACTAATGCCATGGAAGCAGCTAAGGCAGGCTTTGACCAATTTAGCCAATGTAGGATACTTATAATCATTTGTGAAATCATCTTTTAAATTAAAAACTTTAGACCAATATTTTATCAATTGTACACTTGACTTGATTTCCACTTTCATCAGATGTGTAGAGCATTTCTTTGGTGATATCAATATCACTCTGGTATAACCTTATTTCCAGCTTCTACTTTTGACTTTTCATTATCACTAAAAATATGGGACATAAAAGATGATAATTTTTCAAAAGCTAATATTGTACTGGTTTTTTACCTCTTAGCTCTGGATCTAATGCTGTAAAACTAATTAGATATGAATTTTTAAGGGGTAATTTCTGTTTCATATGCTGTGCTGTATTACTATAAGCTTTCATCAGAGAAATTTGGAATTCTTTTGCTTTTGGATGATTTTTTGATAATTTCTTCAGGAGAGTGGAAGCTTCTGCACCAGTAAATATTACTTTTGCTAGGTAGATGGAATTCTGGATTTGTGATACATCAACCTTTAATAAATCATTATAAGATGTGCACTCTATATTTTCTGGCTTCATAAAAAAAGAGAAAAATTTTGCCATCAATTTATAAATACTGGAATGTATTAAATGAAGCATTGGCTTTTTTTTTTTGTTTCAAATAATTTAATATATGTGTTGAACTCTGGTAATACTGCTGAATATAATGCCATATGCAATAAAGTTTTGTTTTGCATAACAAATAACCCATTTAGTATTCTTTTTTTCCGAGCTAAAGCATCCTTTGTGAGTTGTTGGGAATGCAAGCAAGAATACACCCCTTCAACAATTTTTTTCTGAGCTGCAGAAATATTTCTTTTATTGTATACAGTTTCAACATAAGAAAAATAATCCCCTTTATCAGTTTTATCCAAGTAGTGAAAATAAAATGCAATAAGAGCATCCCACAGATCTTTGATTTTTTCTAAAACACAAAATGTACACCCACCTATGGTCTGGTCTCTTCAAGGGCTTAAGTTTTTTAATGGCAAGGGATTCACAGATTTTGAAAAAAATTTTCTCTTTTACTGCAGCTTTTCATATCAAAATAGATGTCATCAAACAAATCTTCTAAGTATCTATCAAAACATGAAGCAAATTTTTTTTTGCACAGTTATTAGCTGTGTGACATGTGTCACCATCAATATCTAATAAGTGGGTGCTTTGTTTGATCGTAGTCTGGTTTCACAACACCCTTTTTTTTTTTCCACGCATGGTGTTACACATGAGTCCATTAATACACTAATTAAGTTTGCCCATGGAATATTATTATCTTCAATAGTATTAACAACTGCTTTAAAAACAGCTTCTGAATTGCAAGATTCCATCTTTAGAGATGCAAAATGATGAACTACAACTTCATTTTGATTGTTGTCATAAAACTGCACCAATATTGCCAGTATACTTTCTTGAGCATTGCTAGTACTTTCATCCAAATTTAGAGAAAATGGAGTCTCCTTTAAAGTTTTAATGATATTTTCCTTAATAGTTTTTGCGAGCCCATATTTCATCTTATAACATGCAGTAGTCCTGGACATTTCCAACGAGTTTAGTGCCGTCTGATCGCGGCTCAACTGTTTGCAGAGTTCAATTAAATTGGGAGCTACATTGAAAGAAAGAGAATTCTCGGCGATAAACGAAGTTATTAATACCTCTTGGCGTGCTTTTCTTGTCACTATATCCAATGGCCGAGCATCAGTCTCCAGTAAGTCATCAGTATTTTTTGAATTAGCATAATTACTTAAAGTCATTGAATGTCTAATGCACTTTGAATATTTTATGTGCGTCACAGTTTTAGAATGATTTGTGAAAGCCTTGAATCCTTCCCCACCATACTTCAGCAGTGAGTTACAAAAAACACAATATGCTTGTCCAGCAACATTTATTTTCTTGCACCATGTGCCGATGGTATCCCCATTACCATCTCTCCGTTCAATCCAATTCCACCTAAATGCATTCCGGACACCTTCTTCTAATTGTATAATATCACTATTTATATCGAGAAATTTCATAGTGAAATTCTCTTGCGTACATAAATAAAAAAATATTTCAATAAACGAAACGAAAAATTTACACGTGCATCAATAAATGAAACGAAAATTTTACACAGCGGAGAAAAAAAAGTTGAGAAGCGATCAATGACAAATAGCTAATACGGCGAAAAATCCCCCTTCTCTACTTATTGGCGCCACGCCAGGAGAGATAAGACCTTTGAACCCAGAGTCACGTGATCGCACATCTGGTCGAACGAAGTCTCTCCCTTTTTTTTCTGCCGCGCCTACTTGCCGAAAAGAATCCAGAAGAGAATGTCCGAGAACCGGGGGAATGAGTCATAACTCGCAATAAGGAAAGAACAAAAAAGAAGTTTTTTCCCCCTTTTCACGCATTATCACTGCCTTTGGAGAAAGAAAGGAAAAGTTTTCACCACACACACTGACCCTGCGTTTTCTGCTTTCAAAGCAAACAAAATTACCCAGATCAAAATAAATAATTAATTATTATTCCTACTTCCTTTTGAACGACGATCCGGGGATCGAAGTTCAAAATCCCGGAGCACAAACACCCCTGTTAGGGGTACGTGGCGCCAATTATTTGGAATTCATTGACGAATTTTAAAATAAAAAGATGTGATTTTTAAAAAATAGAAAGGCAAGTAATTTTGCAAAAATGATTTTTGTGTAAAAAGAATAGTAAAATGAGATAACAGTTTTGCAAGTAAAAACACACTCCTATCTATGTAATTCATCATAAAATAGTAGAATCAACAATTCTTGTAAATAATTATTGAGTAAATAAATATATACACTTATCAGATCGGCGCAGAGCGAAGTGAGTTTTAAATGTAAACAAAATAGCAAATTTTTGCTTACAGTGGTAAACAGCGATTATTATGTGTAAACAGAATAGTAAATGAAATTGATTAAATGATAAATAAACGTTGTAGAATTCAACACGCTAAACTACTTTCGTTCAAAACTTTAATTATTCCATATCTTTCGACTACCACATGCAAGAAACAAAGCTAAAAAATAATAATAATTAACTAAATAAAATAAAATAAAAACATTCATAACTTCACGTCATCTGAAATCTAACATTCTCCCACCAACAATAACATAACCTTCTGCAAAAATTTATATAAATATAATAACAAATGCAGTATTTCAAAATTAATTTTTTTCCTTTTTTTTTTTTTAAATCTTCTGGCTACACTAAATTTGCACTCTTACAATTACCGAAATAAAGCTGTAGATTTGCCACAAGAAAACATACAGTCGGAAACCACAACCAAATAAAAATCGCGCCAAATAAAAAGCTCTCGCCAAGTTTGGTGCTCACCCCAATTATGGAATATTAACCGATAAAACTATAAATAGTTCTTGTTAAAACATTAAAATGTCAATAAAAATGTTGGAATTTTTTATGCATTTTTAAAAATTGCAAAATACAGAGTGTTTATAAAGTCCCGGACCCATTTTGATGTTTAATAACCCATAAAATAATGATGATATAAACAAACGGTACTCTTCTGTTTCGAGGGCCGTAAAAAATCGCCAAACTATTGTTGATGCCAAGGCTGCCAGAAATAACTGCGGCAAGAAAGGAAGTACAGTCAAAAGTCGTTAATCTGGACTAGTCGGGACTTCGGCGATTCCGGATTATCGATTTTTCCGGATTATAGATCATCAGTTTAAATCTGGTAAGATGGCATGCAGAAATTACAAAATTAAAAATATGAAATAAAGAACAATTATGATCTAAAGGGTATCAAAATTTACAAAAAGAAAAAGCTTAATATTTATTTGTTTACTTTATTAAACATTTCTTTCAATGTAAGTTGTTTAAGTGCTTCGTTTCATGTGATAATACTTTCTCTTTAATTCTATTAAACAGACATAATTTCTTGTTTAGTTACAAAGTTCCGCTGTTCAAGTCCTATAATTGCTGTGTCGAGAATACCGACTAATTTGTCAATCGAAATTTTTTCGTTTTCAATAACCTCTGTGTCACGTTCTTCACTATCGGAAGCGAATTATAATGACGAGGAACTTGATTTAAATCATGTGAAAGACGGAGCACATCGAGATGAAATACTACATTTAGTAAGGAATTATACGACAAATAAAATAAAAACATCTACCCTGAAGATAAGGATAGTGCTGACAGATCAACTTCCAATTCATTGAGGGCCGCGATATGGGTTTATGGTTGGGGATATGGATTTTTGGATAATGGATGCATATGGCGATCTGAAAACCCCATGAAGACCGTGACGCCCAAAGGGATTCCCCAAAGGTTAATGCTGGTGTGGACTAATGCTCTACCGAGTCATTGGGCCTTTCTTTTTTACAGAAAAAAATGGTCTCATCAGTCGTATACTTACACGTGTTGGAAAACTTCATATTTCCGCAACTAGGATACCATCATTCGTAGTTCTTTAAATGACCATTTTACAGGAAGATGGATTGGGTGAGGAGGTCCAATTCGTTTTTGGCAACTATTGCAATGTTCACGTTCTGATATAACGCCGCTGGAACTTTTTCCTTTGGGGATTTGTAAAGGACAATGTTTACAGGCGGAAAGTGTCGAACATTGATGACCTAAAAGCCAGAATTAAAAGAGCAATAGCCTCTGTGGATGCCAACATGATTGTCAGTACCTGGAGTGAAATTGAATATCGACTTGATATTCTCCGTGTGACAAAGGGGACACACATGGAAGTTCATTTACAAGGGTCATGATACTTTTTGAGTCTATCTAACCATTTACGTTATTAATTTTAATCTATCTTTATTATTTTATGAGTTATTAAACATCAAAATGGGTCCAGAACTTTATAAACACCCTGTATTTCAAAACTACATACTACAGTAAAAAGTCCTTAAACCAGACGTCCATAATCCGGAATGATCTATAATCCAGACCTCAAAGCGACAAACTTTCTGCGCATGCGTTTACGCATGTGCGTTTAATGTATAACAGACGGTATAAGGTAAGCTAAAATTATCTAAATATCTATTTCACTTAATGTTACAGATTTCATTGTTCCTTAATCTTCTAATTGGATCCAGCTTATTATTTTTTGCAGACTGCTAGAGCAATTTTATAAAAGTATGCCTGAACTTTCGATTATGTCAAAAAGAATTTCCAATTCTGGAGCTGCCGAAGGATCTACAAAGCGAAAGCATGTTTCGATGTCCATCAAACAAAAAGTGGAATTGCTGCAAAAAAAATGGATAAAGCATATCCTTTTTTTCTCTAACCATTCTGAAATCTGTTTATCAATTTCATGCTGCTCTGCGGGGGGACATCTCGTTGCACAATGAACTGGACGTTTATCTGTACAGCACTATCCTTATCTTCAGGGCAGATGTTTTTATTTCACTCAGCTTATAATTCCTTACTAAATGTAGTATTTTATCTAATGTAGTAAATCAAATTCCTCATCATTATAAATATCACGAATACAAATCAAATAGTTTTCTGGTTGCAATTTTCTAATTTCGACTATGAATTCCTCGTCATTATAAATATCACGAATACAAATCAAATAGTTTTCTGGTTGCAATTTTCTAATTTTGACTATGCATAATGTATGCTTTACGCATGTGCGCATTGAAAGAAATGCTTAATAAAGTAAACAAATAAATATTAAGTCTTTTTTTTTTTTTTTTTTTTTTTTTTTTTTATAAATTTTGATACCCTTTAGATCATAATTGCTCTTTATTTCATAAATTACGGTTTCATATTTTTAATTTTATAATTTCTGCATGTCATCTTACCAGATTTAAATTGACGATCGATAATCCGGAATCACCGAAGACCCGACGAGTCCGGATTAAAGACTTTCGACTGTATATCTATATTATAACTCATTAATACCTAATACTCAAATATTATATTTAATTATATCATACGTAAACTTAGCACAGCTACCTACATCAAAGAGCCATCTATAACAATATGCTTGTACAGAAACAAAACCACTACACGAACATCATCAAGAGAAGGAAAAGATACATATAATTCAAATATTTATTCGAGTATTAAAATATGTGAAAAACATATAATTGAAATAGTACTTGCATATTACCTTATCGATTAGAAAAGTAGAGTACCATTTAGTCATGAAAGTGGACAGAAATCCCACCAAAAATACACCAATCATTCCTGAGAAATTCTGAAAGAACTGACACCTCTTTATTTAAATAATCAGTATTTCATCTGCTTATTTTTTGCTTTCTGTAAAAAGGCTTTCATTGATTTCTACTGTTTTGTTAAGCCCCACTATTTTACCAGAGGCTCTGTTTAGAACACTACCCACATAAACTTCTCACAGGTGATTGTTCTAATTTATTTCTATTTTGTAACCCATATTTAGCTGTCCATATGGTGTCCATTAATATACAATTATTTTGATGACCCAATATCCTTATTTTGATTATCGCATATCTTTGAAAATAATCTGCTGCTTGCTGTTCTGTAGAAAGCAGTCCTTAATTATAAGAACTTTTTCAGAATTCAAGAAAAGCACAATAATAACAATTACTTCATACTTTTGTTTAAAAAAATGGCTTATCCAGAATCAATCAGAGTTACAACAAACAAAAGTGCAGATGTTATGTGTGCATTGCTATGTCATGCTTGTCCATAACTGGCTAAATCATGCTGCTTAGTAACAATTTTACAGTCGATGGGATAATATGTATCATTCAAATATTTATTTGACTATTACAATACAAGAAAAACATATATTTACCTTTCAATCAGATTGTGCAGAGCCTTGAAAAGCAATGTACGACATTCGTAAGACAAACCACTTTCCCATGATCCTTGTTCAATTTCTAGTTGAAAATAATAATAAAAAAATATCAAAGAAATTGCAATAAAAAATAAAAAATTATGCAATTTAGATTTTTGATTTTAGCTCAACCTAATGTTAAGTCCAAAATTATATTTGGCTTGATACTCTTTTTTACTGAATTACTTCCCATTAATTTTGCACTTAAGCAATTTATTTGATAATGGTCCTTTATTTTGTAGTTGCAAAGACAAATGTCCATTGTTGGTCAATTATTTGCCCCTTCTCATATCAAAACGATTCAATTTTAAACTTAATATATTAAAGGATAGTAAAATAAAAATAATAAATTTTACGATACAGCATATTTATTCATCTAATTTTCCATATTGAAAATTTTGTGCATTAAAATGAAATTTATTGTTAATAATAAATACTATTCTTTGCTACACAATGGTTTTTAGAATAATTATTATTAGGGGCATAGCTAGAGTTTCCAGCGCCCTGGGACAACTGAAGAATTTACACCCCTTTCTGTGTGCCAAGAATGGAAATCATTTCATTAAAAAATTTCGTAGCATCAATTTGGCGTCCCTGGTATGCTACGCTCGGGAACAGATGTCCCCCCTTGCCCCACCCTAGCTACGCCACCTCTGACATTTAGGCAAAATAAGCTCAATCACTAGCTACAGATAGCTGTTATCATCCTTCATTTGTTTAATGGGAAAAAGAAACATTTTTTCTGATATGTGATGGTGTTAAAAAAAAATATGATCATTTAAAACATATATTTTCTGCTTTGAGAAAATCTTGTTCACTTACAGTTTCATTATCATTTCATTTATATCTTCTTACTGAAAACTAAGCTTTCAAGAGCCCAGGTCAGACATTACTATTATTCATATCTTGATTTCAAATTTTAACCTTATTAGACTTCGCATTATTCAATGTTGTTCCCTATTATTAATATGGGCCAAAAAATGAAAAATAGGACTGCTCTCTTACTCAACAGTTTGTAGGTTTTAATTTTCTAATAGTTATTTTGTTAATTATAGTTATTCTAATAGTTATTTTGTTAGTCTAATAGTTACTAATTCAGAAGTCAAACAACAAAAATCAGCGTTATATTTACAAAATTTTCACAGGACTAGTTTCGATGCATTTTTGCAAAATGCATTTTTCATTTGCGGTTTTGCAGTTGAAGATGGTGGTTCAGTAAAACCATCGAAACTAGTCCTATGAAAATTTTGTAAATATAACGCTGATTTTTGTTGTTCGACTTCTGAATTAGTATTTATTCGGTGTGTCATTGTGTCTTAATTAGTCTAATAGTTATTTGGAACAAGCCTTTCCTACACATTCTAAATTTCCACCTAGGTTTCTCGGCCAGAATGACTTTTCAGGATTATGATTTATGCAAATGAAGTAGAAACGAGTATTTAAGCTGAAGACTGGGTCACCTCAGCTGGAGAGCATGTTTTGCTTTTTGGCCACATTGTCGTTGTTAGTCTAAGTTTGCCGTTCTGCGGCCGTACTGCTGCGTGCCTGCTAGTATATTCCAGTGATTTCTAAATAGAGCCAACTCCATTAGTTGATTCTGTGTAACTTCGATGGTTACTTTTATTTAGTACAGATTAGTTTTATATTTTCTATCTTGAATTAAAGCCCAAGTGGAGGCTAATTGTATGCCCAAGATTAGGCCATCTGTTCATTTACTTTGAGTTGGAATGAATGATAATTTAACCCTTGTTTAGACTTGTTACTTACAACTCAGCAAGCAGTTGCTAGACAGTTCTTCAGTATTTTACCTTTCAAGGGACTCTAATTTAGCTACGATAGACTTTGCATTATTCAATGTTGTTCCCTATTATTAATATGGGCCAAAAAATGAAAATAGGACTGCTCTCTTACTCAACAGTTTGTAGGGTTTAATTTTCTAATAGTTATTTTGTTAATTATAGTTATTCTAATAGTTATTTGGAACAAGCCTTTCCTACACATTCTAAATTTCCACCTAGGTTTCTCGGCCAGAATGACTTTTCAGGATTATGATTTATGCAAATGAGGTAGAAACGAGTATTTAAGCTGAAGTCTGGGTCACCTCAGCTGGAGAGCATGTTTTGCTTTTTGGCCACATTGTTGTTGTTAGTCTAAGTTTGCCGTTCTGCGGCCATACTGCTACGTGCCTGCTAGTATATTCCAGTGATTTCTAAATAGAGCAAACTCCATTAGTTTATTCTGTGTAACTTCGATGGTTACTTTTATTTAGTACAGATTAGTTTTATATTTTCTATCTTGAATTAAAGCCCAAGTGGAGGCTAATTGTATGCCCAAGATTGGGCCATCTGTTCATTTACTTTGAGTTGGAATGAATGATAATTTAACCCTTCTTTAGACTTGTTACTTACAACTCAGCAAGCAGTCGCTAGACAGTTCTTCAGTATTTTACCTTTCAAGGGACTCTAATTTAGCTACGATATGACAAGTTGTGCCCTTGATATTACTTCTTGAAAATTCAAGGGGGATTGGATTATGCAGTATATATCATTTCCGAAGCCAAGAAAAGATTAAGTAAGAACATATTAGATTTAAAAGCACATAGAAATAGATGCACTAATATAATTAAATTCCATAAATTAAAAGAAATCAGTTGCAGCTACTTAAGCTCTTATTTTTACTTATAAACTGCACCTTAGTATTCATCCATACTTTTTAAGTTGCTACCAAAAATTAAAAGTTTCTAAATCATGCTAGAGGAAACAATCCATTAAGTAAAAATGAATAACAGCTGAATTATTTTTTACACTTAAGACTGATTTTGCAGAAAGCAACATGATCATGAAACTTTCCTAACATTAATAATGGGTACTTGAGAAAATGCATAAAAAATTAAAAGTACTCTAATTTTCAAAATTTAATACCACTCCTCTAAATTACTTTCTTTTTAAGTGAAGCTACAGACAGTCAGGCATTATGAAAAGCAAAAGTTGTACCATACAACCAAAAGGGCTCCTTAATTTTATGAAAGTTTAATGATGTAGAGTTAAACAACAGTCTACAGTTATATAATCAAGAAGTATTTTTACATTATTCTTTTATTAAAAAAATATGATGATTTTGTAGCATAAAATACATATATTTACCAAATATATTCTGTTAAAAACAAAATTATTTAAAATCACATTAAACAGACTTTTGGATACAAATGTATAAATTATGTGGCTATTGTAAACTAAAAGTTCATTTTCACGTTGGTGTAAAAAACAGTGGAAAGAGGAGTACATGACCATTACCTAACTTGTATCATGTAAATTCTGCATAAAACGACTGTGTGAAAAATGAATGTATGCTTCTCAAAAATGAAGAACAAAATAGAAATCCTACACAACATTTATTTTATTTAAATTTTTTTCTCATATAAGAAGCTTCATCAATGGGTGGCAAAAATTAAAGGCACAGTTTCAACAGGGTAGTAGACAGCAAGTTATTGCTATCTTTATATCAAATAAAGTTATCAGCAGCAGTTAACATGAAAGTATCAGTGTCTATTCTACATACCTGACTCAATAAATAATCAAAACTCAAACACCCTTCCCCGAATCTTATAAAAAGAAAACTGGCCCTTCCTCTACCAAAATACAGATATTTTTGGAGGCAAGCTGCAATTGCTATAGCAGTCACAAATACTAAAGACACTATCATCTGGCAAGCACTATTTTATTTATACAGTCAAAATTCTTTAATCCGGACATCCATAATCTGGAATGATCAATAATTCGGACCTCAAAGCTACAAACATCCTGTGCATGCGCATAATACGCTTACGCGTGCACGTTTAATATATAACAGACGGTATAAGCTAAGCTAACATTATCTAATTATCTATTTGAGTTAACGTTGCAGATTGCGTTGTTCCTTAATGTTCAAATTAGATCCGGCTTATAATTTTTTGCAGACCGTTAGAGCAATTTTATAAAAGTAAGCTTGAACTTTCGATTATGTCAAAAAGAATTTTCGATTCTGGAGCTGCCAAAGGATCTACAAAGCGAAAGCATGTTTCGATGTCCATCAAAAAGTGGAATTGCTGCAAAAAATGGATAAAGGCATATACTCTCTAACCATTCCGAAATCTGTTTATCAATTTCATGCTGCTCTGTGGGAAGGTGGCAAACGTCACGGCGCGCAATGAGTTGGAAGCTGATCTGTCAGCACTATCCTTATCTTCAGGGCAGATGTTTTTATTTTATTTGGCTTATAATTCCTTACTAAATGTTGTGTTTCATCTCGATGTACTCCATCTTTGATATGATTTAAATCAAATTCCTCGTCATTATAAATATCATGAATACACATCAAATAGTTTTCTGGTTGCAATTTTCTAATTTCGACTATGCATAATGTATGCTTTACGCATACGCGCGTTGAAAGAAATGTTTAATAAATTAAACAAATAAATACGTAATGTATGCTTTACGCATACGCGCGTTGAAAGAAATGTTTAATAAATCAAACAAATAAATATGTAATGTATGCTTTACGCATACGCGCGTTGAAAGAAATGTTTAATAAATTAAACAATTAAATATTAAGCTTTTTTTTTGTAAATTTCGATACCCTTTAGATCATAATTGCTATTTATTTTATAAATTATGGTTTCATATTTTTTATTTTATAATTTCTGCATGCCATCTTACCAGATTTAAACTGATGATCTATAATCTGGAAAAAACAATAATCTGGAATCACCGAAGTCTCGACGAGTCCGGATTAAAGACTTTTGACTGTATTATTTAGTGATAAATATTAATTCATATTTATTCTTTAATAATCAGATTTAAAATATACAAAATAAACTATTTACCTATTAAATTAGATGAAATAAGACCAGAAAGATCAGGTTCTTCTTCATACCAGAATACCCAAAGTTCTTTATTACAGCACAAGCTACTGATTTCTTGGGGTGTTTGATGAATAATATGTTTTTGTGCGATAATTCGCCTCCAGACTGCAAGTATGCCAGCTGCAACGCATTTGCTATATGACAGTAAAACAGGATCTTCCAATACATCAACAGAAACAATATCTGCAGAAAATTTTCTCCATTTGATACCATTAAGATCAGCCTAAAATAAAAGAACAACATAACCAATCTTGAAAATTTTTACAGCAGAGCCATTTCAGATTATACTAAGCTGGTTAGAACACTGCAAATGACGGACATACTGACAAGGCTTATTTTAACCATATCTTAATTGTTAACACTAACAATACAATGTTGCAGCTTTTCTAAAATTAATTATACACATAAAGTGCAGAAAAACATCACAACACTCTTATTTGCAGCTTTTTTAAAATTAATTATGCACATAAAATGAAGAAAAGCATCATAACACTCTTATTTCTTCTCACTCTCTTATCTGCATTCAGGATAAGATACAATTTTAAAGAGACATAAGTTAGTCCGCAAATTTTATAGCAATACAGTAATGTGGGACCAGTAATGGCTAAAGGGATTCCAGCTTTCGGAATCAAGGCTGGGTTCAAGCCTTGGACATTCAGTTCTAATCCACATCTCAAAGTCTAAAATAGTTGAAAATTAAATAATTTTTGCAAAATTGCATATTTTGATATAAACACAAATATCAACAATAACAAAAACTCAAATATGCAAAAATGAGCATAATCAAATATTACAGGTATTCATTTTATAATAGAATTTCAGTCACACAAATAACTTCATAACACAGATTACCGAGTTTTGGTCTCCCAGCTAGTCATAAATTAAATTTGCCATATAACAGCTAACAATTTACACTTGATCATCAAAACACATGATTTTGCTTATTTGATATTCAAAAATATGTTCTCAAGCAGGATGCTGAGATAATGCTGTTAAAAGGCTTGAAAGTACAGATCTGCTTTATTGGTCATTAAAGGGGAAACCATTTGGAATAAAGCACATCAGCTTGAAATTTATATGGTGATTGAAGCAAGGAAAAACATGAAAATGATTAATAATTCAGCACATAGCAAATCAGGTAACAACAGTACCACTATCTCAGAATGACAGAAGAGGACATACAAATTACAGCAAGGAAAATATAAATTGCCAATGTATATTGTATATAGCCAGTGTAATTTATTAGTTAGGAAAGTTTGACAGAATTTGATTAATAATGTTGGTTTTTTTTTGTACACTATGAAGTACTAACAGTCTCTTTTACATATAATTTGTAAATTCTTAACATCAGTTGTAAAATAAATAAATAAAATCTGAAATCAAGCACTAACCATTGCCCAAAAGGGTTTGTTAAGTTTTTTTTTACACTCTCGCTGAGCTTGAGGTACCCAGTCTGCTCTGGCACTCACTCCAGCTTTTTTTTTTTTTTTTTTTTTTTTTTTTTTTTTTTTTCCCGTTTCAGCTTTATTATTAAGTGCTGTTTTCTTTGTACTTATAATACTACATACAACAACTACAAAATTTTTAAAAGCTGCATGGCAGCATATGTTTAGAATTCCTGATGCAGTGTTGTTGGCATACATTTTAATATTTTTTTTCAGTCCCAGTTCATTATAACAACATTTAGTTTTCTTAGTAACATGGCTAACAATTTTTTTTTTTTTTTTGTCTTTTTACTATTAACTTTTAATGTGTTAACTTTATTAAAATCCAATTTTTTGCACTTACACCACATAAAATTCAATTCAACAGCAAAATCATAAAGTATTTAAATGAAAAATTCATAAATGGTATACAAATATCAGTAATGCACTACATTATTCAAGTATGTCAATAGTTTATTTTAATACTGGAATGTTCACTGATTACACCTACTTCTATTCTGACCCAAACAATACACAAACCAAAATAAATCATATAATAGACTGATGTATGAAAAATTTAATAATTTCTTTCATGTTAAGAAAGGACAGAAACATACAAAAGTAAAACTTAAAAATAAACAAAACAGCAAACTTGTGTTTGGCACAGATTTAAATTAAAATGCTATCAATTTTGAGGACAAAGCTTTTTTAGCAGAATTTTTTGCTCACACATTTGTCCTCCAATAAATTCATCCACTGATGAGAATTTTAATTTAAATCTAATCTACCTAATTATAAGTTCTTGCATGTTAGTCTAACACTACACATCCGTATGTAATCTGCAACTACAGGCACATAATTTGGAAATGCGACCCTAATGTGACAATTCAGTGATCAATTCAATAACCAGTTGATTAATACATCAGTTAATATGTTAACTATTATTAAATACTAAGCGTCTCTTTCTTCAGATGCTAAATAAATCAATTTAACAAAACTTTTTATCTAACAAGAACTCAGCACTCCAACATATTCAACTTGTTTAACAGGTTACAACATAAGCACTGTTAAAAACCAGAAATCATCCAAAAGTTATTCTAGTCTATTTTTAGCTTACTAAGCATAAATGAAAAAGTATAAATGTTATACTATGTTTAATGTATGAATGCATGTAGAAGCTCATTACATTCTTTTATATATATGTGTGTGTGAAAATATGGTAAAATTGACAAAACTAGCCTTTAAATTTAGAAAACATGATAAAAATAAGTATAAAATTATGGATAACGTATAAAGGTTCTGGTTATATCCAAAAAAATTGACAGTAAAAAAGTAAAATGCAAAAAGGCTATCCTTCCCCCTCCCCTGCCGATTTTTAAGTGTTAATCTACAATTACATAAATGTTGAAGAATTTTCCTCTGTATTGCTGGTAACAGTTTAACTTAAAATGTTTGGATGATCTTCAGAATATGATGCATTAGCAACTTCATAAAAAATATGATTCAAGTAGTTGGCTGTTCTTGATATATTACAAAGCTAATCACAGGTTCAAATCCCACTGGCTAAAGAAGGCACAAAATTTCCAGAAATAATTAATTTTTGCATTTCTTGCATTTTTCACCTTATTAAGTGGCACAAAAAAGTTATATCTACATGTTATTCTTTATTTAATGGCAATACCTTTAATGATGCAAAAACCTTAGGCTCTACTCTTATATGCACCCTAAGATCACCAAATGTGGCTATATGTGTTTTGCGCTGGTTTTGGGCGCGATTTCGTGCTGTGGGATGGTTTGGTGGACAATGCTGTTTGTATGGCAACTCTTTTGACGTTGAAACTTGGAGATGTGGTGGCAAGATTTCAGTCATGTATTTTAGATTGTGTGGAAAGTAAATTTAGTATTAAAAGGTACAATGTTGGAGTTGTTAACGAGTCTTTTGTTCAAGGTAGTGTGTTTATGCAGATAGAAATGCATTATAGGAATTTCTATGGGAGTCACGACTTTTAAAACGAAGTTTGGCGTGTCTGAAATGCGGAGCTGATATGAGAAGTCAGACGAAGAATGGTGTTTCTGATAGACTTGTGTGGGTTTGTGGTTTTCATGTAGTAAGTTAACTTTGGAGGAAATTTTTATCGTTACTTTTGAAATTTTGAATCGCAGAAAGGCATGTGATATAGCAAAATCGTGGCACTTTTGTTGACAGACATTGTGTAACTAGCGAAATTTTATTCACGTATGTATTTATGGCAAGTGCATTTTATTTTACTGTTTTTACTTTGTAGAATGTTATGGTCATTGTTTTTTTTACTATGAATTCCTGTTGTTTTTTTAATTGTTTGTAATTTTAGTTTAGTTTAATTTGTTGATTTGTGTGCAATGCCTAGATTGTGCAATTCATAGATATTTTTTTAAAGTTTAAACAGGATGCTGTGTACATAGTATTCTTTGAAATCTATTGTTGTTATGTTAATTTATTAATGCGAGGTGTGCGTAGTTCGTAGATTCTTTTGCTGCCTAGATTGTGCAAATCATAGATATTTTTTTTAAGTTAGAACATATCGCTGTGTACATGGATTCTTGTCAAATATTTTTGGTTAGAAACTTTATGCTTTTTCTACATAAATTTTTTGTTTTTGTTTCGAATTTTTAGCTTAAATTACGTGTTCAAAACGTGGTTTTTGCATGTGCGAAAAAAGCATTTTTTGAGACATTTTAGGCTTAAAGTTCGAAATGTAGACAAAAAATTTAAATAGTAATATGGCACCGTGGAGTTTCTCACCATTTGGCGACCTGAGGGCTCATATGAGAGTAGTTCCAAACCTTAATTTGTTAAAAGCTTACAGAAGTCCCTAGATGAATATTCAAAATATTCCAACATAATATCCAGTTTTAGTTGTCAAACAAATATTTGCCAAAGTAAACATATCACCATGTTATTCACATGTAAATATCAATCTTATGTTACTATTTCAATAAAAAACAATTTAATGATAACTTACAAATTTTGATAATGCAAGAATGTTTGCAACTGTTGCATGCAACTACTTTTGAATGATTAAATACTTTTTACAATACAAACAATAAAATGAAAAGTACAAAAGAATAATTCCGTTAATTAACACTGTACCTTTGCATTACACACTGTATGGCGTAAGATCAAGTAAAATTAACAACATTTACACATTCATCTCATATTACTTAACTAAATTCTTGATCCTGTTAAATTATCTCATATTGCATCGTTCAATCTTCATTAATTAACATAGAAACTAAACAATTTTTTCATATTTATAACGACAGAAACTGTAATATGCGATACGAATCCTAGAACTATGAACAGCTGACACACGATCTGACTTTTGATGATATTAATTTGTTTCAATTTTTTACACATATTTGAGGCATAAAAGAAAGTATATATCACGCGATCAAACATAGATAAAAATTTTTTAAATCAGTTTAATACTTCTGATGCAGATGAAACATGCATTATTTTTTAAATTTCTAATTTCTACACACGGTTTGTAAAATTTAGAAATTAAAAGTTCTTACCAATGCAAAGAAATTAGTATGACAATTTTCAAGGCTCGCTCCATTTTTAAAATCAAAAGAAGTAGTCATTTTAACCCATAATGTAATTTATTCTAGAAAGTGTAGAAACCATACCGAAAATGTTAAGAAACTTTAGAACCAACTATAACGTAACACAACATGGCGAGAACTGATACTTAGACGGAGAAGGGTAGACGACAAACTTAGGAAGTAACCGCCAAAGGCCACTAATAAAACTTTCCGAATCGCGAAATAATAAAGAAATTTTCAAATCTCCTGGCATGATGAAATTTTAAAAAAATTATTCTAAATATATTTTGGGTTAAAATTACCTTTACATTTAATAAAATATTGAGTTATTATTTACATCTATTCTAAAGGCTGAAAAACCATATGTCACATGCATCCATATTCTTTTCTCAGAGATTTTATTCATAGACCGAAAGTGCTCAACATTGAGAAAAAGAACAATGTGATCTTACAAATGAATGAACGATTAAAATGAAGTTATTCTACATCAGTTTCTAATAGATCTCCAGGAATAAAAAAATTAAAATTAAATCTGCGTAATTTTCGTCTGATTATGTACAATAGGAAAAAAAAGCTCAAGAAAGGCATCTATGCAGGTCCGGTCATTATGCATCAGATACTGAGTCTTGGGGAATTTTATTCCATATAATTCAGTGGTTCTTATCCTCTTTGCTCCCTGCACCCCTTTCACCATTGCTAGAGGACCATCCACCCTTATTTTGACAAATTCAATAGGTGTGCATACATTTATTTAGATTTAGATTATTTTAAATGTGTTTTATAAGTTAAACCAGAAAAACTATAGAAAATGTTGATAAATACCAAAACTTGAATAAAAGTAGTATTTTATATTTATAATCTAAAGCTAAATATTTAACAGCTATATAAAAGATTGATCGCATTCCCATGTGAAACTATGAAATTCCTCCCGAGGGGAGAATTTCCTTTTAACTGAAAATCCTTGATATTGTCTATAATAAATTTCTGCATTAAAGAAGAAATTCCTGAATCAGATATTAGAAATATTTATTTCTACGTTTCTTTGCTTTCAGAAATCCTAAATACAATACCACCATTTAGTGCAGTAATGTGTTTTCGTATAAGGGCTACCATGCTGGAAGTGAATTACACAAAGCCCACGTCCGGCGCTAGGCTTTCGCCGCTCTATGCAAATCTATAATTTCTAAATTCTGCCTCCCCACTTCTTAAATTCTAAACGTTTTGCCGCCCCTAATTTTCTCCGCCCGGTTTGACTACACCGGTTACACCGTCTCTTTCGCTGGTGTGACAAACTCATACTAGATATCTGGTAATCTGATTTGGCTTTGGTTCAGATTCTTCGTAAATACTGAATTTTTTGTTTCCTCCTTCTTCTTTTACGAACATCATATGTCAGTCATATGTAGTACATTTCAGCATTTTATTGAACGGTATTAAGATTTTGCAATGGCCAATGGTTTCGATTATCCCCACTGAATGCTAAAGCGACATGTAGGAACTCGACCACCAATCTTCGAGCTGGTAGGACATGTGTTCTTCTCCTTCGAAAATCTTGCTTTACGATTGTCTAAGCGAGAAAGCGTTAAACCTATTCGCCCGCACGTATATGTGCCCAGTGACGCGACCGCCTGTTTTATACATTTTCGATTGTATGTGCTATAGCTATAAAGGTGCTTAGACCCTCGCTCAGAGTTCTGTAATTTTGCTTACCTTTCTTACGTTTTTGTAAATCTTCATGGTTTGCTCCATTTCTCAGAGAAAGTTAAAAAGCATACTAAGCACTTACTGCATCCCTACAATGCTTCAGATACCAGGGGTTCAGGCACACACAGTGCGGATGCAATCATGATCCAAATTGTTTAAGACAAAATCATTTCTCATGCCAATGTCCAAACAACGCTAAGGAACAACCCCCATTCTGCGCAGCCTGCTAATTCCCCTAATTAAGTCTTAGGGTTTGTGATAAATTTCTAAAACCCAAAACAGACAAGACAAAATTCTATTCTGATAGAGTTTTTGCAAATAGATCGTATGCGCAAGCTCCCACTACTATCCAGAGAATTACACCATACATGACTTAAAATCCATCTTGAGGATTTAAATTCCATAAAAACTCCGGCATTGGTGAAAGAGCACGAACTTTTCGGTCATCCTACAACATTTTGTTCCCTTAAATTTCAAATGGGGTGAAGCACAAAGACCCAATCGACAATATCCAGATGATAACGGGTTATTGTGGACCACACTTTAGTACGGACATCACAGTAGGGATTAAATAATTTCTTTTTTACTTTCTTGCACGAAGCAGAGAAAGTATTGTAATCGCGAAAAATTTCGGTTTTCAGATTTCAACGGAAATATGCATTTTGACAGATCCCAAAACCATTTGGATTTTTTTTTTTTTTTTGCATGACATCTGTACGTACCAACAGAATACAGAATAAAGGACGTTTTACTCCAGAATGGATTGAAAATGGTCTTTTTTTCGTTACATATCTGTACGTATGTAAGTATCTCGCATGAATCAAAAACGATTAGCCGTTCAGCGTTTAAATTTTGTACACGATACTGCTGTAACGTCAAGTATCGCATCTTCCTTTTTTTATTGTAATCCAGTAGTACCAAAAGTGTATAGATATACTCACCCCCTTACCCGGTTTTTATTTCGTAATCGTTGATCGTAGTCGCACACTTCCACAAAAGTGATTTAAGTAACGAAAATATTCATGTTTTGGGCAATCTCAAATTTTTTAAAAATATTAATTTTGGGCAAATAACAAAATCTAACTTTTAATGCTGACTTCTCCTGTACTCACATTTGGAAAAGTTTTAATACGAAAAAATAAAAATACAAGAAGTTTGACTTTCGACGACAAAAACTGACCTGGATATTTAACTGTACAACTTTGCCATTTTTGACGCCATTTTCTACTGGCATTGGGGGATCGATTAATTAAGTTTGAATAATTCAAGGAAATGTGGTTAAATGAAGCACAACAAAAAATGTGTGCAATTTAATAGGCCGTACAAGGAAGTCATGTAGTGTACACATGATATTTATTTAAAGCAACTAGAAAGAGAAAATATCATAACTAGTATGTCATCGTTAAGATGAGTGATTAGAAGTGTCCAGTTTGGTATGCTGATTTTAAATCCGTGCTACTTCAGCAGTGCGTTTGTACACTTACACCGATTTCAAACGCTTTTTACTCAGAACTGACTTATTTTAATTTAGTATTAAAAATACCAATTATTTCCTTCTTACATTATGCCCCCCGGGGTCGACTCAAAGAACTCTGGGAGGCTACTGGCTAGGATCTGTACCTAGGCAGTCTCGGTCACGGGGGTATAAAATCATTCAGCTTGGTGGTTCCCGAGGCCTGTGTTCGCGGAAAAAACCGTCTCCGAATATTCGGTTGGCCCATACGGTAAAGTGTTGGAAGCTCCGTGTTGGACCCCGTGCACGGATTTCGGGCGTTCCGCGTAGTACTGGCAAATAACACTTTCAACAGTCAGTCAGATCTCCAGGCGTGCATGTTCCCTGCCACGGTGAAATCTGAGAACCGGGAGTAGTGACCCCGAGGGCCCAGGAGGTAGCCGTGGTTGTAGAGAAACTCTTAAAGTCTGCCTCTTCGGATTGGGAGCCCGGAGTGGTAGCATGATCAGCGTATATTCTAACCCTCTCGGGGAAATTCGACTGGTGACCCAACCACTTGCCTAATATGGGGGTTTCTCAGTACGAGTCCGTGTAATGTCGATATGACGGAGCACGTAAACAAAAAATTACAATTATTACATTATACAGGAAATATGTGACCGAAGAAGAAATGAAGTATTGAGTACGAAATTTCAAAAGTTTCTTGCTGCTGCAGAGGCCCAGTCCTAACGTGAAGGCAGCTACGATAGGATGCTACATGCAATTAACTGTATACTGCAATACAGTATGATGACTACATTGCACTTCTTCGCTGTCCAACAGTGTTATCTAAATGGATGTTACTAAGCGGTGCGTATGAATGCTTCAGAAGACTGGACTTATTATGTGCTATTAGACTACGAAATGACCAATTACTTACCAAAGCAATCCCGATCGTAAGGGTAAACACATGTGTTCTAGACAATGTATTCACCAAAGAGGTTGGATTGTGGTCCTCCATACTAGGGCGTCTTTTTATTACTTTATGTTCCTTTTTAGCATTTTTAGCTTAATAGTATCGGGTTGGCAAGAAAATAATTTTGGTTTTTTAATGGGAAATAAAACTCTATATTTTACCTATAAAAACGAACTTGATTGATTAAGTCAAATATCTTCTATCCCTGGTTGATTAAGTCAAATATTTTCCATTCTGGTTTGAATAAATCAAATATATTCCATTTTATGCAATAATCTTTTGCCATCTTTCTGGTAACTCCATGATTCCGTACTCATAGAGCTTCTTGTCTTTACCGGCAAAACATTAACCAAGTGCAATTTGAGATCATCGTTATTATTGTAATTTCTACCATTTAAGACATTTTGTAAACTTCGAAATAAATGATAATCCGAAGGTACAAGGTCGGAGCTATATGCGGGATACGACATCACTTCCCAAACAAGCTCGAAAAATTTCGTAGTTGTTGCTAAAAATGTGTGAGGCCTCGGATCATCGAGGTGGAACACGATTCCTTTGCGCTTTGTCTATTCTGGCCTTTTCCTTTGGCTGACTCCTCCAGTTTCATGAGTTGTTGGCAGTAATTATCCGAGTTTATCGTTTGAGTGCTTGGAAGCATCTCAAAATACACGGCGTCTTTGCAATCCCACCAAATTGACAGCATGATCTTTTTCGGAAGCAATTTAGCTTTCGGATATGATTTGTGCTGATTCATCACGTTTGGATCATGTCCTTTTTCGACTAATATTATTGTAGACGATCCATTTTTCAACATCACTGATAAATTCGTTTAAAAAAAAAAGTCGATTGCATTATGTTTGAAATGCGTATCTCAGATATTGATTCGTTGCATTAAGTGAATTTCTTTCAACTCACTTGGAAACAAAATACCAGATTCATAACGAGTTCAAGGCATTTTATGTGATTTTCAATCGTTGTGCGTGATAAATTTAACCTTTTTGCAATCTCTCGCACAGTTATATGACG